TCAGCATTCAAATCTTCAAATTATTAGTTTTGACTTTTGATACAAGAACAGAAATATGGGCTAAATTTACCAATGATTACCCAACTTTATTATTGTCACTATGACCACTGAATTTGATTTTGTTTCATCGTGATTGTCTAACTTTATACCTAGTGTCACAATGATTAGCTAATTTGATTTTATTTCATCATGACTACCAAATTTCATAAAATGTTTCACCATGACCATCCAATTTCTTTTCACAAATTTCATTAATTTTAAAGTGGTAAAATGATAATTTTGCATTATATATAAAACATAAATTTAAAAAACAAAAATGAAACTTTTTTTTTTTAATTTTGAAAACGTTTTTACTAAATAAGTTTTTATTTTATTTTATTTTATCAAAGTAACTTTTTTTAAAATAAGTTTTTATTTTATTTTTTTAAGGAACGTTTTTTTTAAAGACAATTCTGTTGAAAATTATTAAAATGGAACAGTTAGTTCTTCAGGGCAAAAGAACCAGACTGGACAAGAACTGATTTGGTTCGATCGCTATTCTTCCCATAGAGCCACTGGTCTAGTCTGATTTTTTCATGCTTCAAATATAAATTAAAACATAAACACTCAAGTTAATTTTCTTAAATCACTTTCATGCCTCGTATCTTTGAACGATAAATACTCTAAATCATTCTCAATATATATGAATTTATATAAATTATAAATTCTTCGAGATTATGATAAAATATCGTTGGAACCAAATCAAAATCTAATTCTGAAGCTATAATTGAAAATTAGACTAGACACCTCAAAATAAGCCATTAAGATGGGAGTAGGATTCATCTTTTGGATCTAACTAGTTCACCACAGAAACAACGTACTAGATTTCGATGTTTTCAGTTGATTCAATCCGAAACATTCTTTGTAATTAAGCTTTCAATCTAGTCACAGTTAAACATAAACATAGAACCTGTCCAGAGCAAGATCGAGGTTTGAACATTAAATTGCATTTTGGAGATGCAAATTTGTTAAAGCATAAACCAAAATGAACAATTCCAAAGGAAGGGGGATAAATAATTCAGAACGTTCAATAAACATTGCTTCATGAAATCAAGTTCGTGGCATGCGACATGCATGTTTATTACACGACTGGACCTTAAAAGCAGTGCATTCAAACATGTTAATTAATAGGTAAATGAAAAAGAAAACGAAGATCCCTTATTTCAAATAAGTCATTTCAACTCAAAAGCATATAATTAGCAAAACTCCTAGGACAACTGTGCTACAAGACTAGAGCCCATTAGTTGGAGACATCGAACATAGAAAAGCAACTTCCAAGCTTCCACCAGGGCAGCATAACAAAATGTCAACATAAGATAGAAATGTAAATAAAAGCAAGGCAACTCTAAGAATCAGCAATGGTAACCTCAACCTCGACCCCGGGTTCAATAGTAATTGAAGTAATCTGCTTAA